GTAGGGGGCTCTTTTGTGTTGCGGGATTATGGTATAAATTTCCCACTGCCTGGGAAATTTGCCATATTTCAGTGAGAGGTTAAATATGTTTATAAGTAGAAGAGGAATGTCTGGCCCACCAGAGCGTAGCAGTACGGGAGGAATTCCATCCGGGGCCAAGCCGAGTACAAGGTTCACTTGCAAGAAAGGGTTTGGTCAGCTCATGAGCCTGCAGTTCTATAAGGGATAGGGTAAACTCAAGTGAAGAAGCAGGAGAAACGGAGAAATCAGGTGCATCGATGATCATAGAAAAGCTGAAGAAAGAGTTAAAAGCATTTGTCTTCTTTCGAAAGAAAATAAATCAAGGACCCTTAATCTTTCCTGGTGTGATTTACCTCTCTGCCACTCTACCATTCTTGTAGCCATCTTCTGCATTTTCTCCAGGCAGGCGGCGTCTTTTTCGTGCAGAGGTATCCAGGCTTAGACACAGTATTCTAGATGGGGCTTTACAATTTCTTTGTATGATAGGACAAAGATTTCCGATTTCCTGCAGGATAGAGCAGATCTGAACCGGAAGAGTTCTCCCCGTGACTTGCAAGCTGCGATTTAACATTGGCGACCCCAGCTGAAATCCGAAGTCACTACTACTCCTTGACAGTTTCTACCGGTTGGACTGCTGATACTCCCCACGTACCGACAGCAACTAATGGATCCTTATGTTTGTCAATAGTTGACACTTGGCCGCATTCAAGGCCAAGTCCCACTCATTTGACTACTCAACTACCCGTTCAATGTCGCTCGTTAGTTCAGTTCAGTTCAGTTCTCACAGGAAGAATTTTGGCTCTTACCATTCTAGTGCCCAGATTCGTGTGTTGCCGGCGAGTTTACGTGGTTTTCAACACTTTGATATGCAATTTTTCTGAAAGAAAGAACAGTGTGGTGCTGTATCACATCCTTTGTGGTGAGGTTATAGTTGGTACTGAAGGCCTACCTCAGGGAAAACTGCTACCTACAGTACTGCAGCTTACCTTCTTCGAGCGGCAACCGGTTCCACAACAGAATTACCCTGTCAGTGAAAAACGTTGCCCTCAGTTGCAGCCTAGAGAGTTATGTCCCGTGTGCCTCTATGCGGGACCCAGGAGAACAGGGCGTCAAATCTAATACCTGATATACCCTCGAAAATCTTATTTGTGTCAATAAGGTCTCCTCACATCCGCCTCCGTTTGAGGGAGAAAATATTCAAATCTCACAGCCGCTGTTCACACCTGCTTCGAGATTTATAACTGTTTACTTCTCAAAAAACGAATTGTGGCCATTGTCAATCGCGCGTCCAGTTCCTTGTGTTGTCGGCGGTTTCGTTGGCTTCCGACACTTCGAGCCAATAGTGTTTTCTGAAAAGACGAATGTTAGTTCAGTTCAGGGATCCAGGACTTGACGTTGAGATGTCAAGTTGTCCAGTTCCTTGCTCTGTTGGGCTCTTAGATCCCACAATGTTTCAATTTGACGACGGTAAGGTCCTCAGGGAATTGTGGATACTCTAGTATCGTGCTCCGTGTAAGCTTTCGTCACAGACGCACACATAAAACACTCAAAAACGAAGTTATTAGTGCAGTAAGAAAAGGAACACCCCTAATTCAGTCACCGTGATACAACTTCTCTGGTATGCTCTTCATTCCTCACCGAAGATGTTGCCCCACGTCCTATCAAGCTGCAGCTTGAATTGCGTTACCGTGTCGACTTCTATTACTTCGCTCGGCAGCTTATTCTAGTTATTACCCAATCTTATTACAAAGAAATGACTTCTGATCCCAAGTCAGAGTCTTTTCTTCTTCAGCTTCAGAGCGTGTTCTTTAAGGGTTTCACTATCTGTCATCCTAAAAATGGGCTCATTTTTGCCCTCTATCTGTGTCAAGCCTTTTATTATCTAGAACGCTTCTATTAGGTCGTCTCTTCCTCCTCTCAAGAGAGAACAGTCCCAACTCCTGCAACCTCGGTCATACTCCATCCCTTCACAGTGCTCAAACCACCTGGTGAAGCGACACTGGACCTGTTCGAGAAGCCTGCTGTCCCTGACCAATTTGGACCTCCACGCTTGGACGCAATATTCCAGGTGTAGCCGGACAAACGCCTAGTGTAGAGGTTAGAGAACACTAGACTTTCTCTAACATACCGCTCTTTTCAGTTGGTATAGCACCCGCATAGCTTTCTGTGCAGTGTGACGGCACTGTTGGCTGGGCCTGAAGTTTGATCCCCTTATCACTCCCAGATCTCTAGCTTCAGTTGCCCTCTTCAATTTCCTTCTGTCTCCCGAAGGGCCCATATAGCAATTGGACCTCAGCTGTCTCTCCTTAACGAGATGCTTGCATTTTGTTACTGATACACCACTGATACACCTTTATCTAAATCTCTCTGCAGTCTGTTAACGCCCCAATTATCTTGATGTCATCCGCGAACAAAGCATGGATTTTCCGGTTTGTTCGCTAGATCATTGACAAACAACACAGATAACAGTGGTCCCAGCACGAAAACTTGGGGCACTCCACTCTTTGATTCTCCTCTTGATGACAGGGCTTCGTCCACTCTTACCTGAAACTGTCTTCTCTTCAGGCTTGACACTTCCCAACGTTCTACTCTGGGAATTTTGAGCGAGTAGTCTATGATTCAGTGAATTAAACGCCTTTTGGAAGTCAAGATAGCACAATTCTACTCGCTCTTCCCTTACCAACGTCTTTGTTACCTCGTCTAAAAACACCACGAGGTTAGAGAAACAGGACTTCCTGTGGTGAACCAGGCCTACGTGGTGTCGCTTATCCTGGAGCGGCGCGATATAGTTTCTGGAAACTCGCGATCAATCGAACTTGAAAGGTGACGTCAATGACGCACATACGCATCACGGCTTCTGACTACAAGTCATTGGTGGATCGTACCAGCCAATCCGAGACAGTGCAGACAGAAGCAGAAGTATGCAAACAATACCGCAATATGATTGGTAGAAGCCTAGGTAACTAATGACCTTCTATTGTACATATCATTTAATCGCCTTCATTTCTTTCGATGAACGAATTACGAACTGTTAGTCTTGTGGCCTATTCCTTGCGTCTCGTTCACGTGGGATATTGCGTGCTCGTGCCATTTCGGTCTAGTGCTTCCGTAATCCAGTCCGTGATCGCTGATCCTAGATTCGTGTCTTGTGATTCTTATTATGTGGTTCGTGTTCCGAATTCCGTGCGTATTAATACTATTACTACAATCATCACAAATTGGCGTCGCATGATTGAGCTTTCAACGGTTTAGCAACTGAACCTGCAGACAAGCTAATCTAAGATTGAGGAATGGATCGAACGATTAGAACTGTGTTTCAACATTCGCAAAGGTGTGCACAGAATCAATCAGCCCTATTTCTTACTGCTGGTGGCCGTAATCCCTACTTCCTGTTGAAAAACTACGCGTTGCCTGAGGCTCCGGCTAAAGTACCATGCGAACCCCTGAAGTTGTTGCTCAGCAACCCGCTGCCCATTGAGTTCCAAGCACATTAAAGGGCCAAATTCAACTCCATGATTGGTACCGACCATGTTTTCTGCCGCGACTTCATCCTTCAGCTGAACGAGCAAGCATCACGCTGCAACTACGGAGACCACCTGGAAGAACAAATGTGTGGCCGCTTGGTGGCAGGCATTAATGATCTCACTCTCCAACGGAAGTTACTAGAGAAGAAGGATTTGAGTTTTGCCGAGGCCCGCAAGATCTGTAAGCAATATGATGATTTGATGAAAGCTACTTTCAGCGAAGAAATCAAATTATTTCAACGGCCGAAGACATGGCCGAAGCTACATCCAATGGCCAAGTGCATACCGAAGACGCAGCAAGACTCTGGAGGCAGAGATGAACGTATCAATCCCTGTTTGTAATGTGGAGCTTACTATCTGCGCTGCTAATTGCCGCTTCCGAAATGCCAAGTGTCATGAAAGCGGGAAAAATGGCCACATTCGGAGAGCTTGTAAATAACCTCGTTGCAATCTTGCACAGCCAACGGCTGCGAATGATACAAACCGTGTGCTCTCTCTACGACCCGAAAGTCAATACACCCAATTCCTTTAAAACGATGTGCCATTGCAATCCGGCACAATGCACAAATTCATTGTGAAAACAGGGAGCACGGAATCTGTCATTTTTACTGCAGTGCTTTGGTCACCCTGTCCCCAAGCCAAAATCCTTTCGACATCCGTGCGAATCCTTGGCGTAACTGGACACAAATTGCCATTTATTAGTGAGGTTTAGTTGATGGTACATTTCACAGAAAATCATCTTGTTTCCATTCTCGTCCTAATTGCCAAAAGCAGTCCATCCATACTTGGCTTAACCTCCATTTGTGCGCTGAACCAATCTGTGTCGCTCCATACAAGCCCTTTGCCTAATGTGCACACCTATCTACAGCGTCTAATCGGGAAATGTTCCAACAATACAGGAGGCATGAAAGTGCAGCCGGCCAAATTGGAAGTTGACGGAGAGCTCATTTTCCTGTAACGACGCATAATCCCCTATGGCCAACGTGAAGGCATGTTAAAGTCCTTTAGGTGCATGGAGCGCGACGGCATAATCACCCGAGTCACATTCAGTGTGTGGGCAATGCCAATCCTGATCACAATCAAAAGTGACGGCAAAACACCACAAATATGTGGGTACTACCGGTTAACCCTCAACCCGCGATTACGAAAGTGCGGCTACCACCATGGAACCGGAGGATTTCATGGAAGCATTGCACGGCAGCACATGCTTCTCGAGGATCGACTGGGTTGGTGCTTACCTCCAGATTCCTCTCGCTCCAGCCTGCCGGCAATTCACCACCATCAATACACCGTGAGACTTCATCAATACAACTTCCCATCATTTTGTCTCCACTACTACTACTACTACTACTACTACTACTACTACTACTACTACAATCATTACACCTCCACCGCATGAAACCATGCTGTTTGTATTGATCGATCTGTGAAAATCCCTCCTATTATGCTCAGCCAATCTATCTCGGTTCCACATTTCGTGAATTTCACGTTCCATTTACTCAACACCATCCGCCTCACACATACATAAACATCTGATATTCCACACCCTTTGTATATCTACACATCGACCCTACCCTTTGACTTGGTTTGTTTATCTGCTTCATTTGTACCCTACTTGTTTTAATCGCGACGTGAGCGCTCACATTTGGCTCGTTCGTGTGCAGCGTGACGGTGATCGTGCTGTTCTTACTCAGGCTTATTTTCTTTCGTTCAGATTTGTTGAATTACGCTCACAGTAACATTTGGCTCTTCTTTCTTGCTTTGAGATAACTTTGAGGTTTGTACAGTTTTTACTTGCTTATTTAATTGTTAAACAATGCAGTACCGTAGGAAGTTGCTGGATCTTTCGTCTTGTTGACGTTTTTGGATTCGATTTCGGATCCGATTTCGGCTACGCGTTACTCGTTGATCTATTCAGGAGATACAGTACTCAAAGTCGCCCAATTTGGAACAAGAGAATGTCGTTCGAACAAGGAAGGATCGAGGAGGGAGGACTCGTTGACCAATTCGGGAGATACACTTTTACTGCCCTGCCAATCTGTTTTTTCCAAGGTGTGTCACGATCCTCTCCCTTATTATGCGCTCTAGTATCTTTAGGGTGACAGAAATACGATTTACTGGTCTGTAGTTAGAGTACCCTTCTTTGTTCCCTCCTTTGTGAATGGGGATGACAGTGGACAGGAGCCAGTCCTTGGGGAGTAGCCCCTCCTCGACGGACAAATGAAATAAGGTTTCTAGTGGTTCTGCCACGACACATCCAAGCGGATTCAGTGTCGCTGAATGTATTCCATCCGGCCCTGCTACCTTCGCACTAACTAATTTCTCAGTTGTCTTCCTTACTTCCTCCACTGATGTTACTGTATCTACTATCTCTGGTATCTGCAAATTACCAGTCACTGGAAGCCCATGAGGCCCTTAGTCTGACCTGTAAACGCTTCGGAAGAATTCAAGTAGTGCAGTGGCTGTCTCCTCCCCAGTTTTAGAGCGTTTGCTTCCCCCATTTTTCACCGTACCAACTGGGCCTCTCAACGTGGCCTTGAATTGAACGTAATGAAAGTTTGTCTTAGGATTCTTCTTGGCATTACTTGCAATTCTGGATTCGTACTTCCCGCGATGCTCTCGTTGCAAACCTGCTTTTCTTCGAGCTACTTTGTATTCTAGGTAGGTAGGTATGTGTAATACATACAGTGAATAACGAAAGTAAAGAAAAACTCCTGAAGAGCGCGGGGTAGAATATAAAAATATAAAAACAGAGATAATTTAAACACGGGCTTATCAAATATGTAGTGGAAAAGATATTACATATATGAGTAATAATGGAATAAACTCACGGAAGGATTGTTCGGCTGGTTGACTGGTCCTGTTCTTTGGATGTGTGGCTCCGGTTAATTGTGTGCAGTTGTAATGAGTGTTCACCATGCCTAATCGTGTCCCGCTCTCTCTGTTTCCAGATGCCATCAATCAAGAACAAATGGACGAGACAGAAAATCCAAAGAGGATGAACTAACCGTTACGTAACCCNCCTATATATAAATGTGACCCGATTCCCCCTTCTTTGACTTCCGGTTGTACGTTATTGCGGACACGTGCGATAAACATTTTCGTCTCTACGTCGTCTTCTTCGTACCACCATCCACGTACGCACCTAACTGGTTTAGGCCGGTGAATTGTTGCTGCTGGCTAGTTCCTGGTCTTCTCATTTCAGATAGACAGCCNCGGTTAACCTCTTTCTCCCTGTGGTTGCTACGCAGTGGAGCTGATAAGGGATGGCTGCGACAGTTAACGGACCGATTGATGAAAACTCATAATGCACGCGTTATGCTTCAACAACACTCGGAGAATACGTGCGTGGTGACTAACAGATTCGTACTGGGTTGTTACTTGTTGCGTATACTAAAAAAGATGTAGAACCATGTCATACAAAAGTGTATAGAAAAGACAAACACCACAGTATTCTTGAGGTCTTGAAGTATTTCACGGGTTCGAGGCCAAGCTCAATGGTCCCGGATCTTGGTTTGTCGGTTTTCGATTGATGGATAATGCCAGCTGATGATAATTTGAAAGCATGGTCCGCTAGGGAGGGGGATTCAATGGGAATTCAGGTAATTGAAGGGAGGAAACTGAAAAGAAAGAGGGTAGGGAGAATAGTGAACACATTTTTACATGCACGTAAAATTCACATAATGCACGCCTGGAGACACGAAGGAAATTTATGACACTTTGTTTACGAAAAAGTCTTCTTTTTTCATGTTTCCGTTATTTTGGTTTGTTTTTGCATGCACAAAAATAAACAACATCAGCAAAAATTGTGACTCAATGCAGTTGGGATAAAGGCATTTAAAGTGAGAACGCGGTGGATGGAGAGGAAGATGAACAAATCGAGAGGGACCAACTAATGGGAGTTGGTTTCAGCGTGTTTAAGACCAAGGGATATATCGAGCTTGTGTTTGAACATGCTCTTTGAAGGCGCGTCAACAATCTCTTGCAGGAGGCTGTTCCACAATGGAATGAGTCTGTGGGTAAAGAACCAGTGACGAACCCGGGTGAGGGGCCGAGGCTTAAACAGCTTTTTGCTGTGACCACGAAGAGTATCAAAGCTACATGGGGTAAAAACTGGTTGGTCGTGTCCGGGGAGAGCAAATGGTAAAGCATAAAATGGTCCCCTCGAATGCGGCGGGTGTTTAAGGAGTAAAGGTTTAGTGCGGTGAGACGGATGGGGTATGGAACATGGAAGAGACCTGAGACTGGCTTTGTGGCTGTTCGCTGAACTCGTTCGAGCGAGTTACAATGACCCACAAGCCCTGATCACGCGATTTGGGCTCCGTATTCTAATAGCGGTCTTGCATAAGTGCCATATAAGAGTTGAAAATCTTCTTTATCAAAGCGAGAGAAGGAGCGCTTGATGAAGTTCAGTATCTCAAAAGGATTGGGATTTTTGGTGGTGGCAATAAAAGGATAGAGAGATAGACAACCAGAATCCAAGGACCTTATGCTGGTTGATAGTCTGAAGTCGGGATGTTTTGCACACATTGAAGGTGTGCGCTCAGCTCCTGCTAGAGGACATAGTTACACATCTGTCATCATTTATTAGTAGGCTCCAGTCTGATATCCACGCTTTGGTGATATCCGTGGCTACCTGCACTGCTGATGTGTCACTCCCCCAGATTGTGACAGCGTCAGTATAGATACCAATGTGGACTGGGATTTTGTCCGGGAGGTCATTTATGTATAAGATGAAGAGAAGTGGACCTAGAACGGATCCCTAGGAAACACCTATTGTCATCGGGGAAGAGTTGGAGAAAGAGGTATCTGCCCTAACAGAGGAGGAGCGCGATGATGGAAAGCTGCCTAGAAGATTAAGAAGCCTGCCTCTAATACCATACATTTCCAGCTTGTGCATTAGTGGAGAGTGTGGTACCCGAGCAAAGGCTTTGGCAAAATCTATGAAGATTGCATGTGAGATTCTACCATTATCATAAGCCCGGGTTAGACTTTCCATGACATATAGCATATTGATGATGCATGATCTGCCAGGACTGAAGCCGTGTTGAAAGGGAGAAAGGTTGTTTTCCTTCAGGTGTCAAATGTCTCTTAATGAAAATTTTTTACTGTGGACGCTAGTTAGACTTATCGGTCTGTTGCTGCTGGCTTGATACCGCGGTCCTCTTTTGTAGATCGGTGATATGGTAGCCTTTTTCCAGGCATCAGGGAATTCACCTTTATTTAGGCAGTTTTGAAACAACCGCCCGTAATAATAATAATAACGGTATATTTCACGAAGCCCGTGAGTCATGCTAGTGCGCATGATCAAATGTTGTGCTAGTACAGCAGCTGTCTCTCTG